GGCCGTGAGCATGCCACTACACTCCAGCCTGGGCGACAGAGTGAGACTCCAATTCAAAAAGAAAAAAAAAGAAAGAGGTTGGTTGGGCAGGACATCAGAGTGGGTAAGGCAAGTGATGGAGAGGAGCACCTGTAGGGCTGGATTGAGGGACGCGTCTTCTCTCATATTTCGGGAAAGGATTGTCTTCCAAAGGAGTGGTGAGTGGGTTTCTCAGCACAGTGGTTTCTCTGCAGGGCTGGAGCAGAAATGATCCCCTTTCCCTGATGAGTCATCACCCACCATCAGTCACCTCTCCCCGCAGGATGCATTCGTCACAGTCCCTGCTGCAAAATGAATACCAGCAAGTTTCCATGGGCCATGGGCTGGCAAATGCGCAAGACCTGCTACCGTATCGTGGAGCACAGCTGGTTTGAGAGCTTCATCATCTTCATGATCCTGCTCAGCAGTGGGTCTCTGGTAAGGGGAAGCAGATTTTCTGCTCCAAAACCCTCCAGATGGGATCCCTCACAATCCAAAGTCCCAGGAGCTGCATCAGTGGGTTCTCCCAATTCCTGGACTGAAAGTCCTCATACTGTCACCAGAAAAAGAGCTGCAGCCCAGGGTGAAGGCTCTTCTCAGCAGCAGGGCATGGAGGTTGCTTGAGGTGCCCGTGACATGGCCTTCTAAACCTGGCTGCAAGTATTTAAGGGAGTTAGTATGTACATACTTTCTACTTTATAGATGAGGACATTGAGACTCGACGGGTTTAAAAGATTTGTCCAAGATCACCCAATTTGTCAGTAAGAAAACCCAATTTGCCCTCATCTGATCCCAAAGCCCCTGACTTTCTACCTTCCACCACACAGGCCTTCAAAGAAAACCGTCCTTCCTTATCTTATCAAACATTTTCAAATGTTGCTATTACCCCTTCAAAGCTCAAAGAAAAATCATTACAATAGCATTCTCAAGATGCATATTTTGCTGGGCACAGTGGCTTATGCCTATAATCCCAGCACTAAGGGAGGTAGAGGCGAGAGGATTGCCTGAGTCCAGGGACTCGAGACCAACCTAGGCAAGTGGGCAAGACCTCACCTCTACAATAAATCAGAAAATTAGCCAGGTGTGGTGGCTCATGCCTGTAGTTCCAGCTACTTGGAAGGCTGAGGCAGAAGGATCACCTGAGCCCAGCAGGTCGTGGCTGCAGCAGCTGTGAGCATGCCACTGCACTCCAACCTAGGCAACAGAGTGAGACTTTGACTCAAAAAAACAAAGAGATACATATTCTCACTTACTAGATCTCTGGCGGGGCCTAAAAATTTACATTACCAACAAGTTCCCAGGTGATGCTGGTGCTGCCATCCATGAGCTCCACTTTGAGTAACAAGGCCCTATGGGGATAGAGATTCAAAGTTAGGAGACTCCCTCTAAGACCCTGGCTGAATGCCCAGTTTTGTAGCGCAAAGGAAGAAGATTCTCTCTATACCATGTCTTAGGCTTATTACACAACCCCAACTATTCATCTCAACAGACCATGGTAGATGTAGACACAGGAAAGGACTTATCATACCCAGTTGTATGCATTTTATAGATAAGAAATCAGAGCCCATAGATATGAGAGGCTCTGCCCAGAATCCCAGCTAATAGCTCAAGATCTAGGAGTAGGGCCCCACTCTCCTGATTCATGGCTGCTAGTGTTTTCATTTATCTTGTGCCTCATGTGTCATTGACTCCCTAAAAAGTCTACTTAATGTCTGAGTGCCTACTTAAATGCCAGATTGTCCATGGGAAGGGTGACAAAAACTGCTCAGTATGTGGCCTCAGCCTTAAGGAGGAACACAGGTGAGTGACATGGCGGAAGAGAGAAGAGGTAGGAAAACTAAGTTAGCTATGACACAAAGCCAAGGGAGAAGAGTTTTGGGGCAAGGACTGATCTGCCATCTTGGGAGAAGGGGAAGGGTGTGGCAACATCTGAAGTACCCATTACCCTGGTGCGGAGTGGTTATTGTCTACCTGAACTGTAGCACAGGGCAGAGGCCAAATTGCAGAAGCAAGAGGAGGCTAGGTAATGCTTTCTCCACATCTACTCTCCTCTCCTTCCTGTTCTCCTGGATAAAAATAATAACTACGTGTGCTGTTGACCAGGTGCTTTCCTCATTATCTCATTGGCTCATGATCCTTCTCTCTTCCTTTCTCTTCTTCATTCTCCTACATTCCCTCCCTTCTCTCTGTACTCCCCTTCTCCTCATTCTCTGTTCCACTCCCTCCATTCCTAGGAAAGAGCTCAAACCTGCAGCAGCTGCTCCAACCCCGCCCCACTCCCCAGCACCTCTTCTCTTCATGCCCATCTCCTTCCCCATGGGACTAAACAGGCTAGCACCAAATTTAGTCTTCTTTATGCTTTTACTTTCAGCCCTTTTAAAAAATAACATGAGTTTTCATCTGACAAGGTAAAGTGCAAAAAAAAAAAAAAAAGAAGAAGAAGAAGACTGGGAAATTATATTAAAAGGTAAAGAAAAAATGCCCATTTTTCTATCACTCAAAGATAAGCCACTTTGAAAACATTTTGGTATGTTTCCTTGCTATCTTTCTTATGCATAGAATGCATAAATATTACAAAAATGAAACCACATATATGTATTCTATAATCTCTCAGTAAACTTTCTCAATAAATATTTTTACACTATTGTTAATTTAAAAAGCCAAATTCTGTAAATATTTAAAGAGGCTTATTCTGAACCAAATATGAGTGACCTAGGCCCATGGCACAGTCCCAAGAAGTCCCAAGCACATATGCCTAAGGTGGTTGAATTACAGCTTGACTTTATACATTTTTAGGGAGATAGAAGCCACAGGCCAAACATAAATCAACACACATGAGATTTACATTGGAGGTGGGAGGGTAGGTTACAGGTCATAGTTGGATTCAAAGATTTTCTGATTGGCAATTGGTAGAAAGACTTAAGCTTTATTTAACAAATTTAAAATCAGTAAAAGAAATTCTTGAACTAAGATAAGGCGGACTATGAAAGTCAAGGTTCTTGTTATGTAGAAGAAGCCTCTAAGTAGCGGGCTTCAGAGAGAATAAGTGGCATATGTCTTAAAAGGTATTCTCTATAGATGCAAATTTCTCCCAAGAAACATATTTTATGGTAAAAAAATATTTTTATTTCTTTTAGGACCTGCTCTCTGTCATGTGATTCCATATCAGAGTCAGGTTGAAAATTGGTATCATATTGCCACGGAGTCTGTTTTGCCAGCCTTATGATCTCTATTTTAATGTTAATGTTAGTTGTGCCTAAATTCCACAAGGGAGGGGGTATAACAAGGTGAGTCTGACCTCCTTTTCTATTATGGCCTGGAATTCAATTTTTCAGGTTTCCCTTGGCCCAGAGGGAGTCCGTTCAGTTGGCTGGGAGCGTAAAATTTTATTTTGGGTTTACACTATCTCATTTAATGGCTGTAACCTATGTGATTATAGGAATGTTCCATAATTTATTTAATGAGCCCCTAGGTGTACTCCTACTATGCATAGAATATCCCTATGTATACTCCCTCAGAGATGTTGGATGATTTCCCATCCTAGGTTCTAGTGTTAGATGCAGAACTGGAAACTAAGAAAAATGTGAGCTCACATGAAATCCAGCCTCAGCTGATCCCCTGGAGAGCCGGAAGCATGAAAAACACTAGAGTTGTCCCACTTTGAGGCAAAAGGGATGATATTATAAACCCACATGTCAGTGTTACTGGCTGAAAGCTGCCCCAGAAGGAGGATATAACCTGCTGAGCTGTTCCCAAGGTGGTCACAGTTTCCTTCAGCCCAGTGAAGCCCTCAGAAAAAGGGGGCATCTGCATCTGGGAGCTATTAGCTGCTGACACTCCCAGCATCTGGGGGTTGGGGGTCCTAGGCCCTTAAAAAGGATCTGGGTAAGCACCAACAGCAACCAATATCTTTAGGATATGTTCTTGAAGTCAAAATAGCTGGGTTTCTGGAATCTTTGAGTCATCTTACCAATTTGGCTTCCCACAAGACTGGCCTGGTTTTCACTCCCACCAGTCACTCATAAGATGGCAGCTCCGCACAGCCACACCAACACTGGGGTTTCCCCCTATCCATTCTCATTTCCAACAGTCTGATAAAAGAAAAACCAGTATCTTTTCATTTGATTTTCCTTGATTGCCAGTGAAGTAGAACATTCTTTCTCAGAGGTTTGTTGGCAATTTTTACTTTCATTTTTTGTGAACTGCCCGTGAACATCCTTTGATGCTTTTATTTTTAAACCAAGTCACTGTTAACATCCCTTTGGTTTGCTTCCAAAGTCCAATTTGAGAAGGTTTTCTTTCTCACTTGCATTCAGCAGCCCTGCAAAGTAACAGCGGGCTGTGTGTCCCTGCTGGCCCTGAGGAAGCCCTGAAACAATCATTCTTTGTATCTCACAGTGCCTCCTACACTATTCTACCTTACTTCCTCAGAGCAGAGGGGAAAAAAATGCCACGGGCAAACTGGCTCCCAAAGTCATTCCCAGGACCTGTGGGCAGGACTGGCTGGGTCCTTCACTGTCGGTCTGGGCCTCAGTGCTGTGGGTTCAGGTAGCTTGCCATTCTTCTCCCTTCCTTCCAGGCCTTTGAAGACTATTACTTGGACCAGAAGCCCACAGTGAAAGCTTTGCTGGAGTATACCGACAGGGTGTTCACCTTTATCTTTGTGTTCGAGATGCTGCTCAAGTGGGTAGCCTATGGCTTCAAAAAGTACTTCACCAACGCCTGGTGCTGGCTGGACTTCCTCATTGTGAATGTGAGTGGTTCAGTGGGCATACATAGGATTTGGGGGTCCTCTTCTCTGACTGATGGCTATAGCTAGTGTGGAGGAAACGCAAAGATATGGCCCCTAAGGGCTACCCCAAAGAAAAGCTTTGAGCCAGGCATGGTGGCTCATACCTGTGATTCCAGCACTTTGGGAGGCAGAGGCGAGAGGATTCCCTGAGTTCAGGGGATCGAGACTAGCCTGGGCAACTTGGTGAGACCTCATTTCTACAATAAATCAAAAAATTAGCCTGGCACGGTGGCGTGCACCTGTAGTTCCAGCTACTTGGAAAGCTGAAGTGGAAGGATCGCCTGAGTCCAGCAAGTTGAGGCTGCAGTGGCCATGAGTGTCCCACTGCACTCCAGCCTGGGTGACAAAGTGAGACTCCAACTCAAAGAAAAGGAAAAGAAAAACTTTGAGCAGTTAGCAAGGAGTCTTAGACTACCCCTGCACACCTGTGAGTGATAAGGTCCAGGCAATATACGATTCTGACACAAGCTGATCCTTAAGTGAGTCCTCAGTTCTTAGACCTCCATCCAGAAAGACCATTGCAGTCCTCTGCATTTTTATGTCTAAAGCAAGATGACACATGAGGTTCTCAGAAGTCTTATGGCCTTGCATCCACTGACAGGGCTTCTGGACCAAGGGGAGCCATGGCCTGTGAACATAGAGAATCTGTCCACCTGCAGACTTCACGGTCCTCAGCCCTGGCTGCACTTTAGAATCACCTGAGAAGCTTTAAAAAAGTTGAAGAAACAATGAACAAACACCACCATTCCAGAGATTCTGACCTTACTGGTCTTTGGTCGTGCCCAGGCACAAGTATTTTGTAAAAAAACTCCCAGGTATTTCCAATGTGCAGCCATGTTTGAGAACCACAGAGCTTATTTCACTGGTTGTTCTCCAGTGTCACTGAAAGGAACAGAAGATCCCTTTGGAGAGGCAATGAGTTGAAGCTCATGTGTTCAGGCTCACATTAAACTGGCCATTAACTCCTCCATTAGGGAATTTACTACGTGCTTCCCACACATTAGACATGCAATTCCTCAGAGTCATCTCTCCCTCATCTTCACCACTACATTGTTCTACCTCTGTCTAGGCCATTACCCTATTGGCTTTGCAACATGGCTACATGGGTTATTTATTCACTGCTACATAGCTGAGGGCTCTTGCAAGCAGGGTGAGGCATGGGCTGGATTTGTCTCTGCCTCTCTCACTCTAGCAGCCTCCAGCACCAAGGTCTGTACATCAGAGGTGTCAGGAAATGTGTCTGTGTTTGGTGCTTGCCTCCTGAAGTTGGACAGGGTCCAGTACAGAACATTCTGTCCAGCCTCCTATGTTGGCAGATCCTCCACAGCAGGCCTGTGCCTTCAATTCTATTCTTTCCTGATGCCAGTGTGCTAGCAGCATCAGGCCACTATACCACAGGGATTAGCTGGGAGGCCTGAAATCTGAGTCACAGGTGATAATTTTATGCATATAAAATAATTATTCATAAATGAAGGGAAAATGTAGTCTTCTGGCTTCCCATCCCTGTTAGGGGCACAGTCACTCCTATCTATGTAGGTCTCACTGGTTTCAGTCCTAATCACCTTAAATGATCACCCACTCATTACATTCATACTTCTACTGATTCTTCCAACTATCAGCCCTTCCTTCCATACATTTTTCCTTTTGTCTATCGAACCATTCAACCTTCCTTTTTTCTTTACCACAATTATCCATTTATCCCACAATTATACCACAATTATCACCTTTACTTCTTTTATACGTCCTTCTCTATCAGTCTGCTCTTTCTACCCATCCATTTTCAGTTTTCTTTCCCTTTTCCCTTCTGCCCTTTCATCCATTGGTCTTTAACTCTTATAGCTTTCCCTCTTTTGTTTCATCCTTCTATCCAGTCATCTAACCTTCTGTTCACCTTTCACGCATCTTCCAGTAAAGCATCCTTCTATTCATTTATCCTTCTGTTGCCAGGTGGGGCAGGTGTGACACTTGGTGGGTTCTTTGACCCACCACAGAAAAGCATTTCAGAGTGAATTAAGTATAATTTTAAAACACAATTTATCAGGGGAGGGCCATGACTGACAGGCATGGGTGTCCTAAGAGAAAGAACAAAATTTTGCTTTTGACAAGAAGCTTGATATACTTATACAATGATTATTATGCCAATCATGAGCTAGAAGAAGGACAGTATGTATCTGGTCCCAAGTTTTGATTACCATCTCTCCACCTTTGTTGAGCTAAGGGATGGACTTTTCCTGAATCCACATTTTGCCTCTGACAGGAAACTTGATAGAGTTTTATAGAAATTATGCTAACTATGAGCTAAAATGTGGGTTGATTACCATCTGTCCACCTTTGATGGGCTTTCCTGCATGCACTTTTTTTTTTTTTACAATAACTATTATGCTACCCATGAACTAAAAGGGTGGGCTATACTGGTAAGTCCACATTCTAGCCTGCAGGGTGCAAGAAACTTCTCTATGTCTATCCCACATTAAATAACCTGCTTCTCTTCTGTTCATCCTTGCTTCCATCTTTCCATTCTTCTTTAACCCATTCAACTCTCTTTCCTTTCTTCCACTTATCTATTCATTCATTCTTTTCACTTCTATTCATCCATTCATTCAATCAGCCTTTCAATCATTCACTTATTCTTTCATCCATGTATTCTATTCATCTCTTTATATTTTCATTTATCTACTAGTCATTATTCCCAACTATTCATCCATCTTCCCACATCCATCCATCCCATCCATCCATTCACTGTCCTTTGCTTCTATAATTTTTCCTTTCTTCTTTGACTTTTTTATTCTTCCATTCAACTATTTTTCCTGTTACTTTTTGTCTCTGTGATTTTTTATTTTATTTTATTTTACTTTACACATTTTACTTTTTATTTCATTTTACTTTATTTTATTATTTTATTTTATTTATCTGTCACCCAGCCCAGGCACAACCTGCTGGGCTTAGGTGGTCCTTTAGCCTCAACCTTCCAAGTAGCTAAAACTACAGGTGCGTGCCATCACACCTGGCTAATTTTTTTTATTTATTTATTGTAGAGACAAGGTCTTGCCTTGTTGCCCAGGCTGGTCTCAAGCCCTTGGACTCAATCCTCTCACCTCCAGCTCCCAAAGTGCTGAGATTACAGGTGTGAGCCACCACACCTGACTATTTATTTTTAAAATAAATATTATTGTGTATATTTAAGATATACAACATAATGCTATAAACTACATATATATAGCAAAATGGTTACTATAGTGAAACATATTAACATATCCATCGTCTCTCATGGTCACTCATTTTCGCCAATGGCAAAAGTAGCTATAGCTCATTTAGTAAAAATCCTGAATATAATACACTATTAATAACTATAGTCCTCATGTTGTATATTAGATCTATCTTATCCATCTTTGCATCCTCAAATCCATTCTTCTACCCAATCTTCCTTCAACTTTCTATCCAGTCATTCTTCCCTCCTTCTTTCCTTCCTTTTTTTTTGAGTCAAACTCTTTCTCTATCACCCAGGCTGGAGTGCAATGACACGCTCACAGTCACCTCAGCTTCAACCTACTGGGCTCAGGAGATCCTTCCACCTCAGCCTTCCAAGTAGCTGAAGCTACAAGTGCATGCCACCATGCCCGGCTAATTTTTTTATTTATTGTAGAGATGAGGCCTCACCAAGTTACCCAGGCTGGCCTCGAACCTGTGGGCTCAGGCAATCCTCTCACTCTGCATCCCAATGTGCTGGGATTACAGGCATGAGTCACCGCTCCCAGCTTTTTCCCTCCTTTTATCCATCCCAACATGTTTCTACCTTTTCTTCCACTTATCAAATGTCTATTTATAACTACTGAATGCAAGATTGTCTTATGCAGTGCTCTAGAAAAGACAGAACATGAAATAAATACTCCCTACTTCCAAAAGTTTACATTTTAGTCTTCCTGCAGACAAGACATAAACAGAAATAAATACAGTACTGCTGGGGACTGTTAGTGTCTTGGGGACAGAGACACAAGCCTTCTTCCACTCCTGAGGTAAGGTCGTTGAGAAACCTTCCTACAGCAAGTGGCATCAAATGTGGGGCATAGACACGAACAGGAGCAAAGAGGTTAAAAGAGGACTGAGAAAGGCCAATCATAGCTAAAAGGTCCCTGAGCAAAGGCCCAAACACAAATGTGTTCAGGGAACAATCTGATTTGGGTAGACTGTATGGGTGAAATGTGACTAGAAAAGTAAACTGTGATCATATTACACAGGCTAAGGAGTCTAGGGATTATCCTAAGTGTGTTAAAGCACCAGTGATGGTTGGGAGTGAGAGAGATAGGGTCATAAACAGATTTGCAGTGGAGAATTGAAGAATGGATGCAATACTAGGACCCTGAGACCAGCTGGGAGGCTAATGGCTTGAGCAATGGAAGTGGAGCTAGGCTTGGGTGTGTGGCCTTTGCCAACCCCTGTCTTCCCCAGCTGCAGATTTTCTACACGGGGCAACCTTTCCAGTGGGCTAATAAAAAGACTGAATAGGGCCCAACATGGAACTGACCCCGACCAAAACTTCCTGCCCTCAGCCAGCCATGCAACTGGGTGTCACCTGCTGGTGTCTAGAGCCTTGCATGAAATAAGGGGGTCTTTTCCACTCCACTTCTTTGTGCTAGTGGAACAAACCACCCATTCAAAGGATGAGCATTGTCTGATGCTCTAACACCCCGGTGTAAAGCCCTCCCTCTCTGAAGTTCCTGTGTATATCCCACCTAACTGTCAGGATGAGTGGACCTGGATTCCGTCCACCCTCCACAGCACAACTGGGGTCTCACAAGATTGGGTCATGACTTCCATCAGGCTCCAGCCTACACATATGATATCTCCTGGTACCTTCAAAGTTCCAAGAAGAGGTGACCATTTTTCCATGTCAGTTTGTGTCCTCTGAAGTCCTTGTACTGCCACCTAAAGACAGCTGACACACCAACCGGGGCTCACAACTCAGTCATTATATCACAGATATCTATCATGGCTAGATCTCATGGACCCGTGCCAAGCACTGTTTTTGAAGAAATGTACAGCTATGAGAACGTTAGAACTTTTTTATTCCGACTTCCTCATTTTACAAAGGACACTGACCCAAGGTCACAAAAAAGCAGGGATTAGGGATTGAGAAGAATAACTAGACTCCACCCAGACCAGGATTCTTTTCACCCCACTTTTCTGAGCAAATATAATTGAAACTTTGTATTCTCCTCAAAATAGACTCAGCAGAGCCCCCATGAGGGAACATCATCTCTCCAATACTCCCAGAGTCAAAGTTTCAAGGTTCTTGGGGCCCAGCTGCTGCCCCTAAAAGGGAAAGAAAGGGTTGATCTAGCACACTGGGAATTTGGCCTCCTACAGGCCAAGGGGTGGTGATGTGGGAAACTGAGTCTTCCTTGCCCAGATGTTCAAAGAGTGATGAATAGAATATTTAATAAAGGGCAGGGACTGAACTCTTTCTAGATCTCCCACTGGAGTTCAGAATAGGGTGGGAGATAGGACAATGGCTTAGGCAGAGTAGGGGTGGGAGGCTGGGCAGAGATTTCCTTTCTTCTTTTACTCAGGCTGCTTTTCAGGAACTCTCAGGTGATGCTTTTGCTCTCTCCTGCACTCAGATCTCACTGACAAGCCTCACAGCGAAGATGCTGGAATATTCTGATATGGCTTCCATCAAAGCCCTCCGGACTCTCCGTGCCCTGCGGCCACTGAGGGCTCTGTCTCGATTTGAAGGCATGCGGGTAAGACGAATCTCAACACTTACCTGGTCTGCAGCATTTGGTAACACTTCCTTCCCCCTTTAAGCCTTCCATACCAACAACCCCAAGCTTCAGGCCCCACCACCAAAGGTCAGTTCAGAGTCTTCACTTCCTCCTCTGACTTTGGTGGCAACACATGACCTAACTCTCTCAGGTCCCTTTGTGAACCCTTCTTCCTTTGTCACCCATACACATCACAGCCACCAGGACTCAGACCTCACTCCCTTTGCTTTTAGCCAAGTGAGACTGATTCATGACTTCACAAGCATCTGTTATTTCAATCTCACAGCTCGGCCTCTTATTCTTATTACCAACTGGAGTTCTCCATCTTTCCATGACAAATGAGTTTTTCCCCTAACACTTCATTAAATGTAGTGACATCATCAGCTCAGAATTTCAGCCACCACCCACTGGAAGGCCTCTTCTCTCCAATATAACAATCTTCAGGTCCGGTGGTTTTTTTCCTTCTATGCAACTCTTCTTTCCTTGTCAGCCACCACCTTGCCTCCCTGCCTCCCTCAGGATGGAATGCTCACATCTGGATCTTGTCTTAGGGAATTACTGCTCTTTTTTTTTTTCTTGAGTTGGAGTCTCACTCTGTCACCCAGCCTGGAGGGCAGTGGCACAATCCTGGCCACCACAGCCTCCACCTGCTGGGCTCAGGCGATCCTTCTGCCTCAGCCTTCCAAGGAATAACTGTTAACTGTTCCCCATCCCTTTCCTTATAATCAAGAAAGCCTCCCAGAGCAGAAAGTGAGGTTTTGCTTTTTCCACCACCATTGGTTCAAAGCAGTCATCATAGTGGGGGGCCATAGGCTCTTGACCCCTTAGCTAAAAAAATCACTGACATGAGGCAGATTGACTAACAGGAGGAAAAGCATACAAATGTATTTAACATGTATACACAGGAGTCTTCAGAATGAAGACCCAACCCAACAATAAGATACAGAACCATCTTATATACCATTTCGAGGCCACAGAAAGAATGCAGACTCAGAGCATGTCCCAAAACAAGTTATTAGTAAATCAGGTTTAGTGGCAAGACAAGTTCTGAGAGAAAGAAAGGAAGGGGCTTGGCTAGCAAAGGTGGCTTTGTTATGTAGATGAAGTCTCCCACAGAAAGGATAAGTGGTAAATGTTTCTTTTCAGAATTTTTTTGAGTCGAGTCTCACTCTGTTTCCTAATTTTTTTTTTTTTTTTTTGAGTCGTAGTCTCACTCTGTTGCCCAGGCTGGAGTGCAGTGGCACACTCATGCCCACCACAGCTTCAACCTGCTGGGCTCAGGCAATCCTTCCGCCTCAGCCTTCCAAGTAGCTGGAAGTGTGAGCTATCACACCTGACTAATTTTTTGATTTACTATAGAGATGAGGTCTCACCAAGTTGCCCAGGCTGGTCTCGGAAATCCTGGGCTCAGGCAATCTTCTCACCTTGGCCTCCCAAAGTGCTGAAATTCCAGGCTTGAGCCACCGTGCCCAGCCTCTTTTCAGACCTTTAAAAGTACTAGACTATCCATCTCCCCTAGATCCAGGAAAGGCTTAGAAAGGAGAGGCTTGACTGCATTAATGGAGATTCTTACATATGCAAATTTCCCCTGCCTCAGTCTGCTAGCCCTGAGCAGCCATTTCATTTTTATTTTTTTATTTTTTGGTTAGAGTCTCACTTTGTTGCCCAGGCTGAAGTGCAGTGGCATATCACAGCCTCGACTTCCTGGGCTCAGGTGATCTTTCTACCTCATCCTTCCAAGGAGCTGGGACTACAGGCACGTGCCACCATGCCTGGCTAATATTTTTGACTTTTTGTAGAGATGAGGTCTTGTTATGTTGCCCAGGCTGGTCTCAAACTCTTTGGCTCAAACAATCCCCCTGTCTTGGCATCCATAGGGCTGAGACTACAGGCATGAGCTACTGCACCAGGCCTGAGGCAACCATTTAAAAATATGTCAAAGAAATATGCTTTTGAGTTCTTTTCATTTCCCTCTGTTGATGAAAAGATTCCGAACTCTGTAAAATATCTAAGATGGTTTGTTCTTGTGCTAAGCTTAAGGACTTAAGCCCAGGTACACCCATCCCCCAGAGGTCCTGAGAACATATGCCCACCGTGGCCAAATGGTGGCTTGGTTATATATAATTTTAGGGTAGCAAAAGTTACAAAAACTATAATTCAATACATGTGAGATTCTCACTGGTTTACCCCAGGAAGGTGGGACATTTCCAAGCAGAGACTTGTAGTCATAGGTAGGTTCAAAGATTTATTGACTGGTAATATGTAGTTCTTTTCAAGAGATAAGATATTTTGTTGAGACAAAGGGCAGAAAGACTCTAAATTTATTAACATGTAGATGAAGTCCTCTATGTGACAGACTTCAGGCAGGATAGATAAATGCCTTAAAAGGTTCCCTGAGTCTGGGAATCAGGGTTATGAACCTTTATTTGTCATGTTATATTACACCAAAGTCAGATTGGAAAGCAGACTTTAAGATATAGGGTAATAAGGTAAAAAACCCTGTTTATTGAGTCCTTATCAGGCAATGACTCGCCAACCTGGGTAAGAGGAAAAAAAAAATCAGGTTTAGTCCTCAGTTCCTCCTGTTGGCCAAACATCATTCCTTAGAATGCCTGTTTGGGCCAATAACCAGCAGGCAGTCCCTGGTTGCTAGGAAGGCTCATTCCTAGGGTTGTCTCTTTCACTTATCTGGCCAAGGCCCCATGGAGCTAGGAGGCATATTCCTAGAATTGTCCATTATGTGACAATCATTTCCACATCAGTGATGTTAGATTATGGGGCAAAGTCATAGTTTGACCTGATTTTATAGCCAATGTTTAAAGGTGAGAGGGAGTCAGGCTCAGAGTTCAGTCTGAAAAAAAAAACATCCTGGATCAGATCTATATTACAAACTGTTATGATAAAGTTCCTTGATTTTATCCTGTTACTTTTCTTGTATCTGTCATAGCATCGACAAGAGACATGTAATGACAACATAGTGATGGGCGTAAAGTTGAGAGTTATTTCAGAGGTCATGAAGGCTGGCTTAGTCCAATGTCCCTGGAGGATGCCAGTCTTAGTTGTTTCTCTGGAAACCAGCTAGATCTCAGATGTTTTCTTAAATTGCAGGCAGGTGTCAGCGGGTTAGCTCAAAGTCCAGGTAGGGTCAGAAATATCACTGGGCACTCATTTGCAGTACAAGAGTTAGTTAAAGTACCTGGTAAGGTCCTAAAGTTGGTTATAAATTGCTTTTTGAAAAGGATTAAAGTAAAACAATAATTGTGAATGACAAAAGTCTTAAGAAAGCCATTGTCAAAGACACAATTGATATGAAAATTTGGTTATTCTGTGACATGTAGTAACATAATCATTATTACTATTGAAAACATATACTAAAACATATCAGAATTATAGAAATGTTATATAATTTTGGAACATATATACTTATATTTTAAAGAAAGGTAAGCATTTTTTCATATTTGATGTTTCCTGTATTATTTTAACATATCAAACAAGCCAAATATGTCTTTCTCGAACTTGAGGAAACCTAAAAAAAAAAAGCAACTTAAAGTCAGAAAGACTGAATTTAAAAACTTAAATTTCTATGTTGGTAAGTTTGTCCAATATCAGAGGTTTTAGAAGCATGATATCATAATGCAGGATTACAAGTCATTATGAAATAGTCATTCATTTAACCAAGATGACCAAAACATGCTTTAAGCTGTTTTTTTGCATGTTGTATTTAAGGGAAATAAAACAAGTTTCTAGAAGTTTGTATGTGCAAGCACAACACACTCACTCACACCCCTACATGAGTGCGGTGTGCTTATAAACTCATATGTCTCTTCAATTCTGAGGAAAGACGTGAAAAATATCCTGAATGAGGTTTAGGGAAGAAGTTCTAAGCCTATCTTCAGCTGCCCTGTGTCTCTCGGTCTTCTGAGACTGAAAGAAATGGGATCCAGCAGGGAGAGTTGAGGCATTTGGGGGGGGTTCCAGTGTTAGCAATAGCAAGCTTGGCTACTTGTTGCTATAAGCCAGAAGAAATAAACACAAAATGTAGTTTTAAAAAAGAGGTGATTTTATCCCGAAAACCAACAATTAGGGAAATGACCAGGCTCATGTCTCAAAAAAACATTTTCAAAATTTTAGGCTGAAGATAGGAGATTTTATTTTTTATTTTTTTAAGTTAGAGTCTCACTCCGTCACCCAGGCTGGAGTGCAGTGGCACGCTCACAACCATCCCAGCCTCGACCTGCTGGGCTATGGCGAGCCTTCTGCCTCAACCTTCCAAGTAGCCGGAACTACAGGCCCGCGCTACCACACCCAGCTAATTTTTATTTATTTATTTATTTATTTATTGTAGGGACAAGGTCTTGCCAAGTTGCGGGGCCTGGTCTCGAATCCGTGGGCTCAGGCAATCCACTCGCCTCAGCCTCCCAGGGTGCTGGGATAACAGGCTGAGCCACCAAGCCTGGCCAGATAGGAGATTTTAAAGGGAAAGGACAGAGGGGTGTCTGGGAGTGGCACAGGGAGCTGACCTTGCGTTGATGGTTATTTTGAATTGTTGTCCACCTGGAGACCTGACTGACACTCTCCAGATTGTGGCGAGGTTGTAGATTAATTGCCTTAAGATGACTTCTGAACAATGGAGAATTCTGACGTGGTGTCTCCACACTCTGTTACTCTAAAGTCAGCCTCTGGAATTTCTCAAGCAAGTACACAATTAGATTAGAAAGGGGGAACAAAATCTTTAAAGTGCAGGCTAAAAGAAAAAAAAACTTAAAACTATTTTTCAAAACCTGAAATGGAAATTCTTAGTTACACCAGGTCCTTTTTTAATCCCACCAGGTGGTGGTAGATGCCCTGGTGGGTGCCATCCCATCCATCATGAATGTCCTCCTTGTCTGCCTCATCTTCTGGCTCATCTTCAGCATCATGGGCGTGAACCTCTTCGCAGGGAAATTTGGGAAGTGCATCAACTACACCAATGGAGAATTTTCTCTTGTGCCTTTGCTAACTGTGAATAACAAGTCTGACTGTGAGATTCAAAACTACACTGGCACCTTCTTCTGGGTCAATGTAAAAGTCAACTTTGATAACGTTGCAATGGGTTACCTCGCACTTCTTCAAGTGGTGAGTCAACCATGAGATCAACCACGTCTCTTCCTTTGGCTGTTCAATAAAATGGAGAGTTGGGGTCTTCTAGAAGATGCCATATAGAGACATTGCAAGGAGTAGCACTCATTGTGAACTGAGGTCATTCTGTCTTCCTACAGACTATGCCATAAGGCTAGAGGGCCTTACTAATAAATGTGACCTCATGGTGGTACAATTAGACAAGTGTGAGCTAATATAATAAAATAAAGGGATGGGCCTGCCATGAGTTTGTATCAGGTGATGACTTAGAACATACTACCTATACAAAATAGACATGGCATAGCTACATGTTTCAATCATCTATTTCACATCATGTCCTAGATGGTAATAAATTATGTCCAATTAAGTCTACTGTAGTGACAGATCATGTTAGTGATAATGATAATCAACCACATTCACACTGTCTTTCTTTCATCATTCATTCATTCACTCATCCTTTGCCTTCACCTACTTGTTCATTCAGTCCTCTAGTCATTCAAATGTTGCTACAATTACTTATATATTTGTCATCAGCTTACTTGTGAGTTCCTGCATTCTACCATGTGTTCATGCATTCATTCAACAAATAATCCCTGAGTAGCTGTGATGTGCCAGGCACTGTGCTCAACCCTAAGAGATACAGTCAGAACTGGTTCCCACTACTGACACTATATGCAAAAAGCAGACAAATAAGTGAATCAAAACAGCCCATCAGGAACTATGGCAGGCCTAGGTGCACAATACCTGAGATACTTTTCATGCTCTGCACATACTGGAAGGCACACACAGTTTCCAGACCTTGAGAATGCTAACGTTGAAGACAAGAATATGGAGGTCATCTATTCCCAACTCCCCCATCTTCCAGATGGGAGGGATATACCATTCTTACATCATGTATCTTAGGTGGGAAAGTAGTTGGAAAAATAGAAGCCCTGAGAAAAGGGAGCCTTGATAAACTGCACAAAGCAGACTTGTAGTACTTGCCACCAGAACCTGATATCTAGGCACCCAGTCTATACCACATTCTAGAAGGCGCCATGTCTTCAATGCCACTGTATTCTGAAATAACCACATGTGGAATCACTTTAAATTATCATGTGAGATTAGTCAAGTCACCCTGAGGAAACTTTCCTTTCATTCTTTTCTGCCTAAGCCCTTTCCTCCTCAAGACTCTGACCCTTCTCATGGGGCCACCGTGGCTTGGGAAGGGCCCAGTGTAGACAGATGAGCAGATACTGAGTGGCCTCTGCTCCTTGTCTCCAGGCAACCTTTAAAGGCTGGATGGACATCATGTATGCAGCTGTCGATTCCCGAGAGGTGAGTCCCAGCCCACTGCCCACCTCCCTGCTAGTGCATCTTGCCCATCTCAGTCTGCTTTGAAATGAAATGAAGATGGCCTTGATAGCAGAAGAGGTGATCACCTAGCTGCCTCACACTCTCCCTCCCTGCAACACTGTCCATCTGGCCCTCTGTTGGGTGTTTCAGCCCATCTATGCTGTTCCCCTTCCATGCACACTCCCCAGGCTTCTCAAGATCTGCTCAACTTTGAGGAATGTATCGTATAACTTCCAAGGGAAAGCATATGTGAACCACTCCCTGGACAGGGACAGGAGGAGTGAGGGCAGTGGCTAGAGTAAAGGGGCATCGGGAAGGAATGAGGTAGGATTACAGGTACTATTGATACAAGTTGGGGGACCCCAAAGTTGGGATGCCACCAGTCATCAAGGAAGATGATATAATCGAATGCCAGAACTGGAGTTCAGTCCAAGAGGTCAAGTGAGTTCTTACCTTCATGCAGGAAGGAATTTAATCATGAGATATAAGTAGGAGATGAAAAGTACATTTATGAAAGAAACAGAAACAGAAAGATGACTAGTCCACAGGTAACACAGTCCACAAAACATTGCTGGGGGTTTCAGTTGGAAAATGAAAACAAGTCTACTGAAATAACAGAGAGCAGGCCAATCTATAGAGCAACTGGGCTAGTCTATAGGAAGAACAGCAGCCATACATCGCTAGGGTTTTATTTTTAAAGCTGTCTCTTCATTATATTCTAAGCAAGGGGTGGATTATTCATGAGTTTTCCAGGAAAAGGGTGGGGAGTTCCCAGAATTTGAAGGTTCCTCCCCCATGTAAACTATATAGGGTAACTTCCGGGAGTTGCCATGGAAATTGTGAACTGTCATGGTGCTGGTGGGGGTGTCTTTTAGTGTACTGATATATTACTATACTTAATGTATAGTGAGCAAAAAGGACAATCAGAGGTCACTCCAGCTTGGTCTTAGTTGGTCTCAACTGGCTTTGACCAGTCTTCTCATGGCGTCTCCTCTTGTGAGTGAGGCCCTGAGCCTTGTGACCTTTGTTTTGGGAAGCTAGTTCTGCCAGATCCCTATCTCACTAACTTGAGAGCTGGGTGGGGGAGATGCTGTTGGAGGAAGACCCCTTCCAACTGTGACAGATTCTGTGGATACCCTGTTCCCCACACCCCTCAGCCTTCCTCTGAGTTCACTTGCAGGCTGCACCTCTCATCCTCTGTCTGAGGACCTTAGTGCTTCAGAACTTGCCCAGCAGTCCCACCCCCAAGGACAGGGATTTCACTATCACCAGGGGCAACTCTAACCAATAAGTTTTGGGAGTCTGTAGCTAAATACTCCAGCTTCCTTGTCCCCTGCTGATACAATTCTGAGGTGTGTCCTACATGGTTTCTCAGAGGGTCCTAACAGAATTGAGCACTACTTGCCCACAATGACAATGGCCTGTCTAACAACATCCCTTCATGAGCTTTGCTCCCATTCCTGCTGCTTCTCCTCACACCCTCATTCCTGCATCCTGGGATCATATCCGAGATACATCACCTGCACCCAGGTCTAGTCTCAGCATTGGCTTTTGGGGTGACCTAAACTAAGACATCCACCCTCTTTCTCACTTGACTTGTCTGGTCACAGGTCAACATGCAGCCCAAGTGGGAGGACAACGTGTACATGTACTTGTACTTTGTCATCTTCATCATTTTCGGCGGCTTCTTCACGCTGAATCTCTTTGTTGGGGTCATCATTGACAACTTCAATCAACAGAAAAAAAAGATAAGTGGGGCTCAAGGATTTCTGGTTTCTGCCATAGCAGTGAATCTTTTTTTTAAAATTTATTTTATCTTAAATATGTGGGGTGAAATTCAGGGTTAGGTATACAAGTGGTCATCATACAGTAAAGTTTTGGGCATACCTTTGGTCTCCCCCACTTTGTCTGGTTTGAGATGAGCTACCCTTATTAATGTTATGGTCCCCCCACAGCCGCCATACCCCCTCCAGCAGTTTCTGGCTGCTTCCAATCCCTTTCTTTTTTATCTTTCTTTTTTTTTTTTTTGAGTTGGATTCTCGCTCTGTCGCTCAGGGTGGAGTGCAGTGGCATGCTCATGGCCACCACAGCCTCGAACTTCTGGGCCCAGGCAATCCTTCCATCTCAGCCTTCCAAGTAACTGGAACGACAGACACGCGCCATCACACTCGGCTAATTTTTCTTGATTTATTGTAGAAATGAGATCTCACCAAGTTGCCCAGGCTGGTCTAGAACCTATGAGCTCAGGCAATCCTCCTACCTCAGCCTCCCAAAGTGCTGGGATTACAGACGTGAGTCACCGTGCCTGGCTAGGTGTTACTATAATAATTTAGAATGTATAGATATCTAGTGGGGCAGGCATCCCAGTTTATAGGAAGTAATTGGTCAGGGCTCCAGGCATTAGAAGAGGGCAGAATAGATCTGGGCAAGACAGTGCTGACCAGTGTGATCAGTACCCTGTTGGAACTTTTGAATCATTCAGGCATTCCTTTCTCTCACTTTACAGATAAGGAAACTGACACCCAGAGACAGGTTATAGAGTGAGATGAGCCGGTGATTAAACTGGTGTAAGGAACTGCTTCCATTGTCTCCTTGCTTAGAATTCTCAGCATGGCCTCACTCATTCATCTACTTACTGCCTCTGCCCTGCCCCCACCCCACCAGGCCAGTCCTCTGAGGAAGCCCTTTGTATTCACAAATCTTCTGATATCTCCTCTCAAATCCCACAGATTTCAACCCACTTTCCCAGCATTTGTAGTGGCTAATTTACATAAATATGCTCATTGAAATGGGTGAGCCAAGTGTGGTGGCTCACGCCTGTAATCCCAGCACTTTGGGAGGTGAGGATTGCCTGAGCCCAGGAGGCCAGCCTGGGCAACTTGATGAGACTTCGTCTCTGCAACAAATCAAAAAATTAGCCAGGTGTGGTGGCATGTGCCTGTAGTTCCAACTAATTGGAAGGCTGAGACAGAAGGATCGCCCAAGTCCAGCAGGTTAAGGCTACAGTGGCCAGGAGCATGTCACTGCATTCCAGCCTGGACAACAGAGTGAGACTCTGACTCAAAAAAAAAAAAAAAGAAAGAAAGAAACAGTGGTTTTCAAATTATGTCAGGAAGTAAAAGATGAAGGTTTGAATGAAGGAAGTTCAAAGGATCCCTAAAGAAAATTCATAACCCAATCCTAAGGGAGGAAAGTGTCTTTGATAGTACATTTTCTGGCATTGTAACAGTAGAAGATAGTATGACCGGCAGGACCTGGAGAAAACCAGTCAAATGACCCTCTGAAATCAGATATCCAAGGATAAGGCTGTATTTGTCCTCAGCTCCCCCTCTCCAGAAAGGATTCGTGGGCCTGTGTCCCAGAGTCTTTCCTCCGAGCTCCTGAGGAAACCTCTTGTCCCCAGCGGGGACTGTGATTTTAGAATTCTAATGAATTTAACTGGAATGAACAAGCTGGATCCAAGACTCAGATCTGAACTGACATGTACCTTCTCCTTGAGTTCTGTTCTCCAACTCTCTCCAACCTCTGTCAAGGCAACGTCTCTGGGTCCCTGGAGAATAGAAACAGTCTTTGCTTCAGAGACCCAGGCAGGAAGTCAGATGGAATATAGCCCCACTGTTCTGCCATTGGTTGTGGCAAGACACTCCTTGATGCCCGTCTTGGTATGTCTGTCTGCAGAGGATGGGAGAAGGTTGAGATGCTCTTTTCTTTCTGCCTGTTCTAATTTTGGTATCCCCGGTGGTTCCTCTTGCTTTAATAACAGCAGTATGACCTTCTCTGCACTTAGGGGGCCAGGACATCTTCATGACAGAGGAGCAGAAGAAGTACTACAATGCCATGAAGAAGCTGGGCTCCAAGAAGCCCCAGAAGCCCATCCCACGGCCCCTGGTAAGCCCCAGCGAGTCTGTGAATCCAACCTGACAGCCTGTCTGTGCGGAGCAGGGTTCTAGCCGGTCCTGCTTGTAGAGGAGGAGGTCTAGATTGAGTTTGGAGATGAGAGTGATAGGGATTCCCAGGCCCAAGGAATGAGAAGTTTAGAAGAAGCAACTCTGGTTTTCTGGAATGAACATACCTCCTACAGGTGCTTTAACTAAACCTGTTTGGGAAAGTATTGAGTTCCCCAACAGTTTTAGGGTTCAAGCACAGGAATGAAAGCAGATCCGGCTAAATGAGAGTAAGGGTAGTTAGAGCTCAGGGATGAAATTATTGTGTAGTTCTTCATCCTGGTCTAGGTCACAATGGATCTCCAATCTCACCCCATGTTCTACCAGGGAGGAAATGCCCAAAACCCAACCCCCTTGGGATTCAAAATGCAGCCATGGTCATGGTCAAGGGGCCCAATAGGAACCAAAATTATCCTATTCTGGAGTTTAAAGATTGGTCACAAATTAGGGCCAGACTCTACTTTGATTCCTTTTTTCGTAAGACTCTCTAGAGACATGCCCTTGTATTCCTCCATTCAACACAACACCAAAACCACATATTATATCCCTTAAGTCCTTCTCAGTCCTTTGCCAGAAGATAGAAAATATCAAACTTCTGGGTGGCCCCAAGATAGCATCCTGTTGGGAATGAATGAACAGGTCTGGGAGGGAAGATGTTGATATGTCAGAAATTATTGCTGACCCTCTTCAAAGAATTTCTAAGCCATCCACTCCAGTGAATGGAATTGGCATGATGTCCCTTTACATAAACTTTCTGTGGCTAAGATGCAGCATTTATGAAGAAAACCACAAGTACTGCCCATGGCGCAATCCCATTAGCCCTTCCCCACACAAAGGCAAAGGGAAGAAGCCTTTCCCTAAATGACTTAGAGAGACATGCATTCTGTTGGCAAAGGCATCAGGATTTCTAATCAAGGCATGAGATTTGCATAAATTACTCCAAACTGTGTGAGAACAAACTCTCAAAAACGCTTACAAGAGAAAACAATTGTGACTTTTGATACACTTTATTCGGAAATAGTGGTCATGAATGTATTACTATCCTACATTCTGATAAGAAGTGTTACAGTGAGGAGTGATAGGAGTTTCAGAACTCTGTAAGGCAGTTCCTAATTCCCCCATGAGCTATAAGATCAAGATAACTGGGCTTGAGTGAGCCTGAACAAAACTCTTTAAGGTTAAGTATTCCCCATCAACAAATCCAATGGGCAGAAACAGGCTCAAAATAAAAGATGTTGGTAAAAGACTGAGCCCCACCAAGCACATTCAAGTCACCGGCTATGGAGGGAGCAAGCAGCCAAGTCCGTGCTGGCCTCTACTGGAGGTTGGACTAATACTGAATCTACATTTGAGCCAGACACCAAAAAAGGTCTATGCTAGGGGCAACCCATGACAAAATCACGAAGGTTTTTGACACCTTCCCCCACACACTACTCAATCTCTCTTTCACATCCCAGCTTCTCCCTTCTCATCAACTCATCCCACAGGCCACCAACACTTCCTCCTTTCAAGGAGGACAATGCTGTTGGGACAGATGAGGTCAAAAAGGACCCTGAAGAGGGCATCTATGTACAAAGTCATGATCATAATGTTGGAATTCCGGAAACTACATAGTAATGAGTTAGAATTGATGGTTGGGCAGCACGATCCGCAGCAAAATCACCATTTTTCTCCTAATTAAGCCACAGCCAAAAATCTCCAATAATGACACTGGGGAAGGTTCCCCACATGAGGAGGGGAAGTGAAACCTCATAAAACTGTTTCTGAGATTCTCCATTCCTTGGGATGGGAGGGGGGTGGATTACTAATCAACTATCAACACTACACTAGCCTTAATGCAGCAGCATGGCTCTCCCATTAATATTCTGGTCTAAGCATAGTAAACATTCTTTTCTTTGTTCCTTGATGTAGCATAGCTGAGGCAAGGTTGGAACATTTAAACATTTCTTGAGTTGGAATCTCTCTGTCACCTAGGCTAGAGAGCAGTGGCATGCTCACGGCCACCACAGCCTCCACCTGCTGGGCTCAGGTGATCCTTCCACCTCAGCCTTCCAAGTAGCTAGAACTACAGGCATGTGCCACCATGCCCAGCTAATTTTTTGATTTACTGTAGAGACAAGGTCTCGCCAAGGTGCCCAGGCTTGTCTCAAACCCTTGAACTCAGGCAAGCTTCTCACCTCAGCCACTCAAAGTGCTGGGATTGCAGGCGTGAGCCACTGCACCTGGCTTAAACAAAACTTTAGGCCGGGTAGGATGGCTCAAGCCTGTAATCCCAGCACTTTGAGAGGCCAAGGTGAGAGGATTGCCTGAACCGAGGGGTTCGGGATCAGCCTGGGTAACTTGGTGAGACCTAGTCTCCACAATTTATCAAAAAATTAGCCATGCATCATAGCATGTGCTTGTAGTTCCGGCTACTTGGAAGGCCGAGGTGGAAGAATCACCTAAGCCCAGCGGGTCAACACTGGGGTGGCTGTGAGCATGCCACTGCACTCCAGCCTGGGTGACAGAGTGAGACTCTGACTCAAAAACACAAAACAAAACAAACTTTAAAGTCTTAGGGATGCCAACAGGAAAACCAGCAAAGCATAGTCCAAGCAGTGACTGCAGATGGCTGCTCTCCAGGGCTCAAAGACCTTGGCCCAGCCTAACTCCTGGCTGACATCCAGATGGCAGTCAACATCTTGGCACCCACCCACCCAGAGGCACAAGCCTGATCAGCTGCCCTCCTCAAAGTCCAGCACCAAGAAAAATCCCAAGGAAAAAAAGAAATTCCCAGTTCCACCTGAGATCCACCTTCCGAGACCCAGCTTCCTTTTTGCCAGATTTATTGGCACTGGACTCTTCACCTTCTTCTCTCTGGAGCCCCACGAGTCAAGCTGGTGAGATAAGCAGAGCACTGGCACAGGACTTCGGCCTTACTGCTGTGTGGGGGCCATTTCATGGCAGAGTTAACCTGGGTCCACATAGGGATCCCCAACACACACACATACACACCTTTCCTTGCCTCTGGTGAAACCCAGGTTCTAAATCTTATTTTGTCCATAGCAAAAGCTAAAGGTTCCACAAGACTGGAAAATTTTGTCCTGTAGCAATCCCTGCTATAAAAATCAGTGAGAGCAGGCTTCACATACTCCACTTTATAGGAAAATAATAGACTGTAGATTATCACATCATCAAGCATCCACTTCATCATCTGTGAGAGCACTGAGGGTTGCAAAGGTGTGATCCCTGTCCATGGGTTAAGCCAAAAGCAGCTAGCAAGCCACTCTATTCCCTAAAGTCATACTATCCAGGGCAAACCTGCCATCCAGACACTTAACACTGCTGTCACTTGCTCTGTTTAATTAGAAGTCATGTGACCATGAATAGGCCTCTATTTTTTCAGCATTTTCAGTGATGACATGAAAGAGATTAGTGGCTCAGCTATCCCCCTTATCCCCGGAAAGATGTGAGCCAGCAGTTAGGCACCAAGCCAGGCCCACTAGGGTCTGATTCTTTGCTCTAACCTGATAGGGCAGCAATCCATCCCACCATGAAGCAGAAGGCAGGGATCAGCCTTGTCACAGCACATCTCCCTCTGCCTGTTATGCAGCTCCTGGGGGCTTCCTGGCCAGGTTCAGACAGGTTCTTCTCCTCTTCCCTCATAGCCACACATGCAAAGGCCTGCACATCTTATACATTCAATAAGTTGTATATAATTAAATGTAATCAAACCTAGCACAGTGGCTTTAAAACTCTATTTGAGCTGTGGTTAATGCAGAGCTATCCATTCTCTTTTCTATCCATTCATAAATTTATGGAACATCTACTGAGGTCAGGCACCATGCAGATACTAGGTTTAGAACAGTGAACAAAATGGGCAAAGTTCCTGTTCTCACAGGTGTTATAGCCCAGTGACAGGCAGATCATTAGCAAAATCACATACGCATTAACTCCCAAGCTAGAAAGATTGCCAAGGGACAAAGAATGGGGTGAAGAGCAAAGGATGCCCAGGACTGAGCCTTGAAGAGCTCTAATATCTGAAAGTTGAGTGAAGGAGACCAAAAAAGAGCAGCTTGAAATAAGAAAAGAAACAGGAATGTAAGTCATGGTGGAAGCCAAGAAAGGAGTATTTCAAGGTGGAGGTAGTGCTGAGCAATGTCAGACAAGTGACCTTTGATTGAACCTTATGGAAATCATCTGTGATCTTAGAGAGAACCATTGCAATGGCGGGATGGGGGCAAAAGCTCGTTGGATGTGGGCTCAGGGGCAAATGAGAGATAGTAAGTGTACACAACTCTTTCAAAAAATTTAGCTGTGAAAATGGGGAGAGACCTCAGGTGAAAGCTGGAGGGAGATATGAAGTTCTGGAAGATTTTTCCTAAAGTTAGAAAACACTAGGTCATTAAAGATTTCCCTAAGGAACCAAGAGACTGAGAGTGACCCACATGGACATTAAAGATGCCTGGGACAATAGCCTAGAGTGGGCAAGTATGACCAAGAGCCTTACTCATCAGTAATGAGACAGAGGGACCAGGAGGTTGGCAAGCAGCAGTAATGAGGAAGTGAAGGTGGGAGGGTTAGATGACACAAGTGTCAAAGGAGGAAAGAGTTTTTGTAAGACACAGGAAGAGTAAAGATCTGGAAGAGACAGCAGAAAACAAGCAGGACCCCAGGCCTGAACCTTAGTCCTGCAGTGTGTAGGGTGGAAAAGAATGGCAATCTTTGAGTAGAGGGAGATGTGTGCCAATCGAGGCAGGTGAGGTCAGGATGAGGTTTGGGGACAAGGTGAGAGGCGGGGAATGAGGCTGGGATTAACAACTCCCAGAGCAGTAAGATGCTAACAGCACAAGAAACAATAGAGGGCCACACTAAAAAAATTTGACACCATAAAAATAACCAGATATAAATTATTTCTTGATTATTCAGGCCCCTCTGCCTCCCTCTAAGAATACAAACAACCAAGACCTGACCCCATGTTCTGTGCCTACATTTGCTTAGGCATTTTTGCAGTCCCAAGAAGAAAGAGAGACCATTTCCGGGAATAAGGTGTGCCTTTGCACTTGGCTTTACCCCTAGAAAAGTAGTTCAAGATTTGAGCAACTCTTGAACTCTTGCAATGTGCAGAGCACCATAGAAATACAAAATTGAAGAAGGCATGGCCCTGTCCTTAGAGAGTTCATTGACTAGTAGAGAAGAAGAGAAGCATGTGTGAAAAACTAAACTCAAGATGGCTGAAAAGGGTATGGGAGCTGAAAAAGGGACAGGGCGGTATGGTATAATATGGTTAAGGGAAACTCCCTGGAGTAAGTGGGGCTGCAGAGAGATGGATTACTCAATACTGCTGGAATTTAGATCCTCGAGAGAGGAGACTGGAAGGGCATTGAATAGCGGGAAGAGCATGGACAAAAGAAGGACCTGGTGATGTCAAGGGGCCAGGAGAGGTCATAAAGACTTGAAGTGAGGCAATGTGAGGTAGAATCAGCTACAACTGGGATTTTTGGAAGGGATAAGGACAGGATGTGACTTCTGTTTGGATGTGAAGTATGGTGGAGACAAAACTCATCTGTAGAGAACATAGCCCCTCCAGATGTCTGGATTATGTTGACCCAAAGGTCCTAATGCCACCATCTCTTGTTTTCTCAGAACAAGTACCAGGGCTTCATCTTTGACTTCGTGACCAGACAAGCTTTCGACATCATCATCATGGCTCTCATCTGCCTCAACATGATCACCATGATGGTGGAGACCGATGAGCAGAGTGAAGAAAAGACGAAAATCCTCGGCAAAATCAACCAATTCTTTGTGGCTGTCTTCACGGGCGAGTGTGTCATGAAGATGTTCGCCTTGAGGCATTACTACTTCACCAATGGCTGGAATGTTTTTGACTTCATCGTGGTGGTCCTCTCCATTGGGAGTAAGTGGGTGGTGTCATGATAGAGAAGTCCAGCCTTTGCTTGGGGTTATTTTAACTGCTCTTTCAAAACCGAGGGGACAATCAACCAAATTTTTGAGATACATGTTCTGTTAGAAGATTCCTGTATTTGCAGCTTTCCAAGGTAGCAAATTTAAAATGCCCCCGGGCTGTTCTCTCAGTGAAATGAAGAGATTCCATTGGCCTTCACCATGCTGTCATGAAGGGTTTTTAGGCACCTATTGTGTGCACAGTCCATGACCAGAACCTTGGGGACTGACAGATAACAATCATTCCTCTTGAGAACCAGACAGCAAAATGATGGAGTTTCTAGTGGACCTTGTTTTTATGGTCCTGAAAGCAGCGGGTGGGTGGTATGATATGAGGTGAGTTTAAAAATACATTCTGGAAATGGAGGTGGGACATCAGCAGAATGGGAAATAACTGGGCGGAGATTGTTCAAAGCAAAGCAAATTCTTAAGTGTAGGGTCTGGCATTAAATCTCCACGTAACTGTCCTGTTGGGGAATATGAGTGATAGAAAAGTCAAGGGATCAATGCCAAGAGATCAGTGATGTTAAAACCCAGTCTGAGTGTTGTGGAATGACAGGCCCAGTGTTTGGGTCCCAATGTTTTTTAGAGAAAATTCACAGAGTCAGAGGCTAACGTGGGAAATGAAGCTGCCATAATTGGGTACTTACTGACTTCTGAACATTGAGATGGGCTCCATGAATCTTCCCAGCAGCCCTATGAAGGAGGTATTATTATCCTTACTTTATCCATTTAAAATTGAGACTCAGAGATTAAGAAAATGATGCAAGGCAACAGAGTCTATAAGGGGCAGAGATGAGTTTAGACCAGGTTATGTTCTTCTAATGAAATTGCTGCCCCCACTAATAGCCAAGAGACTGTCCTTGGACTTTTTTTTTTGGCTTAGCCAACATTTGACCCTATGAAGGCCAAAGTCCAGCTCACCAGCTTCACTTTGCATTATATCCTGATCAGTTATATCCTGACCTGATTACTTTTCATGGCAGGGCATTGTTGTAACTTTAATTTCCCATTAATTTACTATCAAGAACTGATAGTCCCTAAATACAACTTGGCAGCATTTTATCGATCTCCCTACACTGGCGCTGAAACACAACCTTGGGTTGTATTTATTTGCTTGGGAGTGTTTAAATTTATTTTTTTGTTTTATTTTGATGTTGCTGCTATAGTTTTTTTTTCTTTACTTTTAAACTACTCTGTTGAGGTACATATTTAATGTATACAATTTGATGAGTTTGCAGAGAAGTATACAACCATGAAACCATCACTACTATCAATGCCATAACCATGTCCATCACCCTTAAAAATTTCCTCCTCAGGCTGGGCTCAGTGGCTCAGCCCATAATCCCAGCACTTTAGGAGGCCAAGGCAAGTGATTGCCTGAGTCCGTGTGTTCAAGACCAGTCCGGGCAACTTGGCAAGACCTCGTCTCTAACTATATAAAAAATTAGCCAGGTGTGGTAGCACACACCTATAGTTCCAGCCACTTGGAAGGCTGAGTCGGAAGGATCGCCAGAGCCTAGCAGGTAAACACCAGGGTGGTCGTGAGTGAGCCACTGCACTCCAACCTGAGTGACAGAGTGAGACTCCAACTAAAAAAAAAGAAAATTTCCTCCTATCCTATTTATTTATAATATAGTATTGTTTACTGTAGGCACTATGCTCTACAGTAGACCTCTAGGACTTACTCATCTTGCATAACTGAAACTTTGTACCCTTTTTTTTTTTTGAGTCAGAATCTCACTCTGTCACCCAGGCTGGA